TGTTTTGGGTTGTCTCAAAATGTGGGAACCTCAACAATGGATGGCTTTCTTTTGGCCTCCTTGCCAAAAAAGAAACAACCAAAAGCAGCCTCAAACGAGAGACACGGTCCGTAGAACGTCACTATCCACGCATGCTCAAGAAATCGCCCCTTAACACCAAAGACTTGCCTGCCGGCGACGGTCGGGCTTCGTGCTGAACTCGGAAGGGCCGTGAAGGGTCGACCAGGCCGGGGTGCTTTGACCGCACAGTTTGGCCATAGGGCTATCTCATTGCCTAAGGAAACCAGAGGTCGGGGGCTTGGGCAACACTATGTAAGAGTGGTTCTACATACTATGCATGGTTTCCATATCGATATACATGCATGCAACGATGTACATGTATAGCTTAAATATATATATATATATATATATGTATATATATATTTAAGAACAAAAACATAACTGAATGAATAAATGAATAAATCAATAAATAAATATACATGTGCATACACGTTGGTGTGTCCCTGGGAAAGGTGAATTAACATCTCAAGTCACGGAGTCTCAAGGGGCGCAGTCTTCAATGCGAAAGTGCCAGTCCCCGTCAGGGGCAAACCAGCATCTGGATAATATATATATATATATATATGTAATCTATATATATATATATTATTGGCTATGATTTTTTTTAGGGGTCTGTAACGCGTGACGCGCCACGAATCTTGTTACGGAGGTCTGTAACGGAGGTCCTTGTTACGCAGGTCTGTAACGGGACAAACATTTCCTGACAAGAAGTATCAGTAGCACGATGTAGCGCAGCACAACGAGGTATGCAATGGCTATGTAACGAGGTCTGTAACGAGGCAAAGCAAAGGGCAGGACGCAAAGCGCGCCTCCGCAGCTCCAGCTTGATTGCAGCTACTCAACGCAAGCCAAGCTGCGGCAAAAAGGGGGTCGCTGGCCCGGGCTGGGGCTGGGTCTGTAACGAGGTATGTAACGGCTATGTAACGAGGTCTGTAACGAGGCAAAGCAAAGCGCAGCACGCAAAGCACGCCTCCGCAGCTCTATTCAACGCAAGCCAAGCTGTGGCAAAAAGCGGGGTCGCTGGCCCGGGGGTTGGGTCTGCAACGAGGTATGTAACGGCTATGAAACGAGGTCTGTAACAAGGCAAAGCAAAGCACTTGATTGCAGCTATTCAACGCAAGCCAAGCTGCGGCAAAAGGAGGGCAATCACGTCACTGGCCCGGTTTGCTCATCTGAGGTGTGTAACGAGGGCGTGTAACGAGGGTGTGTAGCGAGGGTGTGTAACGAGGGGTGTGTAACGAGCCAGCTGGTTTTGTTACAGAGGTCTGTAACGAGGTCTGTAACGAATGTCCGCCGCAGCTCTGTTACAGACCCCTCAAAAAAAATCACTGCCCTAAGGGTCGATGGGGTGTGCATTGCGCGCCCCGGGGCCTTGCAATGCACACCCCGGGGGCCATTGATATCTGAGGGGCGCCCCGCGGGGGCCTCAGGGGCTTCGGTATCCAAGAGTGAGGGCCCGAACAAATAGCTTGTCCATGGGGCTTGAAAAATGAAGCCATTCCGAGCGTTGGATAGGCATCGCAACTACCGCAAACCGCTTGATAGCATCAGCTCGGCGTCGGATGGGCGTCGGTGGGTGTCGGATGGGCGTCGGATGGGCGTCGGATAGCGCCAGATGGGTGTCGGATGGGCGTCGGATAGGCGTCGGATGGCGTCGGATAGCGTCGGATAGGCGTCGGATAGGCGTCGGATAGTCGTCGGATAGGCGTCGGATAGGAGTCGGATAGCGTCAAATATCGTGCGGTAGGAGGCAAATGGCGTCGGATAGACGTCGGATAGGCGTCGGATAGGCGTCGGATAGGCGTCGGATAGCATTGGTTAGCGGCTAACGGTTAGCGTCGGTTAGCATCGCGTGGGGCCTCCAAAATGAGGCATTCTGACGCCCCGAGCGTCGGATAGGCGTCGGATAGTATTAGCGAGTGCCAGCTCTAATCACGGGGCACCGATTCGTTAGGATAGCGTCAGTGCGGGACAAGCATCGGTTCGCGCAACATGGCGTCGACAAAGAGTTGATCGTTATATATATATATATACATCGCGCATAGGTCCGCGTCAGAAAGCATTGATTTGCACATGCGCTTATTGCGCTTCATGTGCAGTTTCCACTTGAGCAATGCTGTGGGAGAGCATTTGTTAGAGTTGACTACAGCTATTGAATTCATGGGAAAGGCCTCGATCCCAACTCCCGATAGTTTTGGATAGCATCCCTCGTGATTGCAAACATTGAACCAAGGTGTTGCTGTGGAGGCTCAAAGTTGGGGGCTTCGCCTTCCATACTTGACGCCCCCGAGCTACATGTGAAGCCCCGGAACATGTTTGGACCCTTAGGGTGCCATATATATATATATGTGACATACAACTAAACATGGCAAAATGGAGGCTTGGTAACCAGGGGTCACATGAACATCCATACTACACATCCTCGCCGGCATGAAACTGTGAGTGGCCATGCTCTCGTGGCAAACCAAAATCTAGACCTAGCTGGCAGGAAGCGCAACTTAGCTCTTGCAAACAGACTCAGGTCTGGCCATAAACCGTCAAATAAACTTGCTAAACACAAACCATGCCCCCGTACAACTCACCGGCTGAGTGGATGGCCCAAAAAAAGTCCAAACTTTACGTTTTCCACTAGAATGGTCTTCCCAAAAAGTCTAAAGTTCATGAACTCAGGAAGTGAGACAATCACGTTATGGCATACACAATGCCTCCGTTTAAGCTTGGAAGTGGGCCTCGGAAGCTGCACGCTGCAGGAATCGGCCCCAAATGTGGCCACGTGAAATCATTCTGTGATATCTAGCCTTGACACTCTTCGCAGCAGCTAAATTCTGGCAACACATCTATCAAACTCTGTCTACCAGTCTAAAGCACTCAAATCACTCAGTTTGTTCTGCGAGGCAACATTTGATATACAAGACGTGCACCTTCTGCGGCCACTGAAACAGACCCCCAGCAAAGAAATCAGGTCGCCAGTTGACTCGCTTTGGTCAAGCGAGGAAAGGGCCACTTCCGCATGCCAACGTGGACCTGAGTGAATCGCTGGCAACTGGAGTTGGTAGCTTCAGCCATCCATCCGGGAAGACCGTTGGCCCCTCCATTCCCCGAACCAGTGAAACCATAAACCAAAATTTGAGTGCGGGGTGGGGATACAACGAGTCTGGAATTCCAAAAAGTCTAAAGTTCATGAACTCAGGAAGTGAGACAATCACGTTATGGCATACACAATGCCTCCGTTTAAGCTTGGAAGTGGGCCTCGGAAGCTGCACGCTGCAGGAATCGGCCCCAAATGTGGCCACGTGAAATCATTCTGTGATATCTAGCCTTGACACTCTTCGCAGCAGCTAAATTCTGGCAACACATCTATCAAACTCTGTCTACCAGTCTAAAGCACTCAAATCACTCAGTTTGTTCTGCGAGGCAACATTTGATATACAAGACGTGCACCTTCTGCGGCCACTGAAACAGACCCCCAGCAAAGAAATCAGGTCGCCAGTTGACTCGCTTTGGTCAAGCGAGGAAAGGGCCACTTCCGCATGCCAACGTGGACCTGAGTGAATCGCTGGCAACTGGAGTTGGTAGCTTCAGCCATCCATCCGGGAAGACCGTTGGCCCCTCCATTCCCCGCCAGTCCATACTTTGAGTGCGGGGTGGGGATACCGAGTCTGGTTCCATGGACTCTTTTAAAGACGAACAAATCAGCATTCCATGCCATGATGAATTCATGCTCAGTTTGCTTTCTTTATCGCCCGCCATAATAGCCAACTCACAAGCGCAATTTCGCACCACCCCAGCGTGCCGCATGACGAATTCTTGAATTCTCGCAACTTAGCACCGGAATGACCTAAAGCACCGGAGGGGCAGCTCGTACTTGCAAAAGCGGGAATCCTCGCGGTCTTGTGCTTCCTCCCGCTCATGCGTCCCCATCGATGGCGGGGTTGAGCCGGGCGATCTTTCATCGTAGAGTGAAGTCATCAATGACAACCCAAAGATTTCAGTAAGGATCGGTCTCTTTTCGCGGGTCTAACATGTTTATCTTGATAGAGCGGCAAACCATCATGTGGCTGTGTTAATACTGGAAGCCCCTTAATTGGGTGATTTAAAAGCAGGCATCCTGACACTGGCACCCACTCAGAATGAACTCAAAGTCATGAAGTATCAGGGATAGGGTGGCCTTACCTTCCGACCCTTTTCAGGGAATCTCTTCAGTTCCTTGGAACTAAAAAAAACATCCTAACCATTCTTTCTTCGACTCGAAATCCAGGCGTCGAGCCACTCCGTATTGCACTGAAAGTTAAAAAAAAACATCTCCTGATACAGACACGCTCTTCTTCAACGATTTGTAGCTCCATGGGCAGGGGACGGAACAGTTGCCAAGGCTTGCCTTTTCAGCGGGCGCATATCTTTCCCAAGTCTGAAGGGCAGCTGATTGCAAGCACATGGGTATGTCTTTTCTTAGGGGACCCACAAGTGGTGGTGTTCCTTTTGGTGTCCCTTCAAAACCAGGCAAAAAAGGGCACCCTAAAAAAATCAGACCCACATGAGTAAAACAAGGCACTGTTTCACTTGTTCCCCACTTGTAGCCTGTTGAACCCATACCCAAAGGGTGGTACTCCCTTCCCCCTAAGAATAAAGGCCCCTCTAATGATGCAACACAGATTTTGGAAACCCCAGCGCGCTCAAACTAAACTAAGAATAGACCGAGTCTGAACCGAGACCAAACTTGTGACTCCCAACCTCTCCTCCAGTCGTATTGGGAGACCCTCTGCTCGAACCCAAACATGACCGGACCTACACAGCTAGAAAAACACGGGAGTTGGCAGCCCAAATCTGGAACAGTCTTAATCCGGGGGCATTATTAAATTATTAGTACGTAGACCACGGTTCAAATTAGGGTGACCGGATTTGGGAAAGGCCCCATTGGTCCTGCCCGATTGCCTTTTGAGACCGCTTCTGGCATCCACATTCAGCTCCCCTCCATGCATCCGGACCTAAAAGCACCGGAGGGCTAAGGGCTTAGCGGCTACAAATTTCTCCGCACCCTCTTCTACATAGGTCTTGTGGGGGATTCAGGAGGTAAAGAGTAGATTGACGGTTGGCCATCTTTGTTTGTGGATGGTCAGATGGTCAATGCGGCAAAATGACGAGCCCCGTGTCGGGCTTCAAGGATTGCACAAATTGCAAATGCTGTTTCATATCGACAAAACAACTCTGAGCCAAGCATGAGGGAGAGTGTTCAAACAAAAAAGCCCGGATGTTTTTTGGTCCAAAGACTCGTCAGTGTATTGGCCCAACCCTGGTTCGTTGCTGAAACACGTTCATCACCTGCGAATTCTTCTGGAACCCAAAGGGACCCGAAAAGCAACTCATGAGGTTGTGGGTTCGTTCCTTCTCTCAGTCACTCGGGAAGGTCACAGCGTCAAGAGCCGCTTGCCATTGCAATCCCCAAGCCCTGGTCAGCCGTAACATTCAAACATTCGGCAACTTTGCACCTGGCAAATGTGCGAGGCAAAGAAGTTGTGCTACACAGCTTCTCCGACCCGATTATACATGAACCCCACCAGGTCCCCAAGGAAATCTGCTAAGGAGTTTCCGTTTCGCATCGAAATGGAAGTCCCACAACCCCAAACTTCAGACCATAGAGCTTGGCGAGAACCTGCTTTGGTGCGCCCCGAAAAGGTGTTGTTGTTGACTCCCAAAACAACTAAACGCAATTAAGCAAAGCACTGGTAAGCTTCGGGTCGCAGGGTTTCCAAGTAGTTCCAAACCTTGAAGGGTCCCTTTGTACCCTCTTTAATGCCTTCCCAAAGCCTTCAAATGCGCGGGTGTTTCCCAAATGGGGGGGGTCCGTTAGACCAGGTTGAAAGTCCCCTTGATCCTAAATCCGCCGACGTTGCAGAGGCGTGTCGGATACTTAAGTGATGATAGAGGATTAACCCCACCCGTTTAAACGTCGGAAGGGGGGGGGGACGGGTGGGGTCCGCGTGGTAATTTGATGACGCTCCACTAAACGTAGTCTTCGGGGAGCTGCGACAACAGGGGTCCCAGGCTCGAATCCCCCTGCCGGCTCTTTGCTGGTTTGGGTTTCCTGTCTCCTTTTGCCGAAATCCTGGAAGATCTCTGTGCTGTTTGTCATCCTTTGTGCGAAAGCGCTGGAAAAAAACGTGAGTTGTGCGGGAAAATACTGGGGAGCAAAGGGGAAATGCAAGGAAGTGCAAGGAAATGAGGGGAGGAAATAGGAAGTCGACATGACAGGAAAGCAAGGGTAAATGAAAAGGAAACAAAGGAGAACTGAAAGGGACATGAAAGGGACATGAAAGGGACAGAAATGAAAAGGGGAGTGCAGGGGGAATGAAAGGGAAACAAAGGACAAGGAAACCAATTGACACGGGAGATGTAGAGAAATGACTGGCGACGAAAGAACGGGGCACACATGAAAAATGAAGCGGACATACCGAGAAAATGACAGGGACATGAAGGGGGAGTTGAAAGGAATGGAAGGGACATGACCAGGACATCATGGGAAACGTGAAAAGGACATGAAGGGGAAATCAATGGGGAAAGCCAGTAGCAAGCAGGCAGTTCAGGGTCATGAAGGGGCAGTGCCCGGACATCGAGGCGACTCAGGGGGACGTGACGCTGCAATGCAGAGAGAGAGGGAAGAGAGCGGGAGAGAGAGAGAGAGAGAGACACAGAGAGCGCGAAAGAGAGAAAGACAGAGAGTGAGACACAGAAAGACAGAGAGAGAGAAAGAGACAGAGAGAGAGACACAGAAAGACAGAGAGAGAGAGAGAGAGACAGAGAGAGAGACAGAGAGAGAGAGAGAGAGAGCGAGAGAGAGAAAGAGAGAGAGAGAGAGATAGAGAGGCTTGGGGGGATGGGGAGGATGGGGAGCAGAGGGAGGGAGAGAGGACGACGGAACACATGGGGGAGGAGACAAGAGAGAGAGGAAGAAGGAGAAAAGGGAGAGGACAATGTCGGCGGACTGAGCCGGAGGCTCTAAAGTTACTAAAGTGGGATCCTAAAATTGAGGACCATGCAAGACATGAGGGACTAACATGGTGTTCCACACATCCACCCGACCCATCGAAGGCGGGAAACACTCGCGCCCAGCCACTTTCATCAAACAAAAACAGGTGGCTGCCTTCCAATTTTAGGGCAAATCGAGGCCAATCCCTGGGATATGTTTGTCGATACGCCCACTGAAGAAGCTGACCTCGACACAACCGAAGACCTACCGCAGAATTAGCGAGTCTAACCCAATGGAATCAAACAAGCTCGAAACTCCTCGACCAAGCGGCTTGGATGTATGTCTCTGCACATCTGCACCGTCTGACTTGTACAAACAGGACTACCACCAGAAACCCGAGTGGCAAGTCCCGGTACCTTGCCCGGAAGATCCCTGGTTACCAGTATACTATGTACCCAGCCATTCTTCTTTTGTTTTCTTTTGTTTTGAATGGTTGCCTTTGTGCGCGCCCCGCCTCAGCAGACCTTGCAGGACTTGGGGCAGGCCTGGAGCCGTTGGGCAAATTTGCGTTTGAAAGGCGACCAAAGCGCACTTCTGAAGGGTCTGTGGATATGACACCTCAAGAATACTTTGTGAATGGTGGTTTAAAGGGAAACAACCTCCAAAAGTAATGTTGAGAAAAGGGAACTAGTTCTGCCTCCACCTTTGCTTGCGAAATGACCTGCTGATTGCTCCACATCCAGCTGTTGACACCTTGATAATCCGTGGCAAAAGTAACTTTCAAACACAGCATCATGCATGGAGGTTTTAGGACCTTCCGCACTTGTGGCTGGTCCCGCAAATGGCCATTATTAAAACTTACAAATGTCTTGGGAAAGAAAGTTCTAGCTGCGAAGGCGTGCTTCGTCCTGAAGTTGGCCGTTGAATGATCCGAAGTCGCAAACAAAGGCTTAACCTTGTGGGGCCAGGAAGACACCATAAACCCAAAGATCAACTGAGAGTTTAAAGCTGACTTTACCGACCGTTTCAAACTTTCAAGGGGTCGGCTTGCACACCTAACATGATTCCCTGAAACATCCGAGGAACCCTCAATTCACCTCGTGCATCCCGTGTTTTCTGGCTTGCATTTTGATACTCCCGCGCCTGCAGAAGCTCTTCCTTGAAGATGTACTCACCTAGCACAAGAGGAGTTAAGTCTGGTGCATCAAACTGTCCAATCGGAATTCCCATCTGCGTTTGAGAGGAGAAACACAAGGAACCTCCCACGACGACTAGGTCCAGTAGAGAGGTTAGAATAAGGGTACCCTTTTTTCTGTAGTCGATTTTGGTAGGGGAACCCTCCCCCAAAAAAGGCTAAAGGGCACTGGGGGACCTAGACGAGGAATCCCTGGATTCCACGCGACGAGGAATCCCTGGCTATTGGCTGGGGATCTGCTCAGAAAGGGTCTACAAGGTGCTCGCCTTTGCGCCTTTGCGAGCGCTACACTTTTTAACAGGTCAACAGGAAATCTGAAAAAAACCGACGTTTTTAGAGGGGTCGCCTTTTTCAAGGACCCAACTTTTGTTGAATTTCATGTAACTTGCAGCAGAGCATCGCAACAAATTGGAACACCTGCCATGGTGAAACCTCTTGGCTTGAGCGGCGGTTGCATGCGCCAGTCTGACTTCCATCAAGCGTACCACTCGAGCGATTGAATGGGATGTTGAATGGGTCTGCGAAACCTGCGAAACAAAGACCATTCCCTGTGGCTTCATGAATTTATAGAATATGTGTGATTGAGAACCTGCTCACTTTGGTAAGGCCCGCAGCATTGTTCAACAGCAGCAAAAAAGGCGTCTGACAAGCAGAAAGTCTCGCCCCAAAGTAAAAACCGCTCACATCTTCCATCACCACCTTGCATGACCAGCTGTTCGTCCCTAGACAACAAAACCATCAAAACAAAGACAGACCCCGAGCGGTTTCAGCTGCAAGGCCCAGTAGGACAATCAGGGCAAGATTGGCCAAAGTGTGCCCCGCAACTAGCAAACCACTAGACAGCCCCGCTCCAGATTATGGCTGCTCAAGGGCAAGCAAAGCACCCCCTTGGAACATGTCCTGGCTGCTGTCACTTCGGGTGTTTTGTGAAACTCCTCATCGCCGAGGTAGATTCATGTCTGACCCGCCGGCCCCAAGCAATAGCTGCTGAAATTAATAACGGCAAAGCCAACATCGGGAAAAATACATAGTTGCCCAACGCCTTCTCACGAACGCGGCACAAGCCGGAACATGATTGGCTCGTGGCTTTTGATGGACACACCAAGGGCGCCATGCAAAACTGTCCAATTGCTTGCGACACTCAAAGCCGAAATGCATCTGCATCTGGCCAAGGGGCTGCAGTTGCGCGTGACAAACCAGGCGCAGTGCCAGTTGAAGGCACTCCTGCGCGGCCATTGAACTTTGCTGTACCATGCTGTACCTGCCGATTATGTCCGGGGGTTCAAGTCATCGAGAACGGCAAGGACATATTGATAAGAACTATTTTCGGCGTGGGAATTGTCAAACTTGGCTCCAAGATTGTATCCGGATATGAAACTAAAGCAAAGTGGCACCCATCCGCCGATTGACCCAGATGGTTGCAGATCCCCAAGGCAAGAATGCGGCCAACGTCCTTTTGGGCCTGTTGAGTCTGCAAGATCAATCCACGGTCCTAGCAGATCAACATGACAACCATAATTCAAGGTGAGCCATAGCGCGGGCGAACCGGAGGGGGTCATCGGAAGGCCCGTGGCTGAGGGCCTTTGAAGGGACCCCCACAACGTGTTTGTTTGGCTCAAAGCCGAAGATCTTGCCAAACCCGTGGCGCAAAAGCAAGCATCAGAAATCCTCCTGTTTTCTCAAGTTGAAACTGATTGAATTTGGGCCTGGGCTTCAATTTTAGCGAGATTCGGCAAGAACTCGTCAAACCAGAAGGACACTTCCAGAATCCATCCTCGCATCTGCGCCCGCCTGTAGAGCGGGTCATCCTTGCAGCCAGAGCCCTTGACGGGCGGCGTCTTTCGTGGATTGCACTTGCCCCGCCCACCTCGGGGTTACGGACAACAAACAGTTGTGTGTCTTTTGAGAATACCCTCCCATCATTGGAAGTGCACAGAACCTTTCCAAAAGGAAATACAAGTAGTCTTCCAAACCGTGTGTGTGTGTGTGTACACGTCCATCTTGGTGTGAAGGTTTCTTTGTGGGGTTACTTAGGAGTACCAAACTTGCAACGCAAATCCATCCATGTCGGGCTGGTTCCCTATTTGCAGGCAAACCCACATGCAACGGGCCAAACGCGGATTGCCTTGCTCGAGATTTGCGTCAAGCCTAAGGTTGGCACCAGAATCATAGGGCCACAGGAGCGTCAAAAATGGAGACCCTGTGGTTGGAAGGGAACCAAAAACAAGCACCAAGGAACGCCCATTTGTTCCCTACCAGTTTCGGGAAATCGAGCTTTTGTGAAGCCATGAACCCTTGCATTGCAAAGCCCCTCCTCAGGAATTGCTGACTCAACATGATGCCAATTGGGAAGCCAATTGGATAAAGTTGTACCTTAGGTCGGGTAAATTTGGCAGGACTCATTAAGCTCAATGTCCACTCGCGAAGTGGGCTTGGCATCAAAGAACACCAAGGCATTTATAAAGTTGTCTTTGATGTCTCTGCCTGACAAAAAAATGGCGGTGCTTGGGATCATGTGTAGGACCTCAATCGATCGGGTACAAGGTAATCCCGCTGTCATGCAGGCGTGTCTTGATAAAATTCTAGCGTGTCAGGACACGAACTCACTTAAACTTGATTGCTGCAACCAACAGCGCTGCAAACTGTGTCCCAACTCTACCCAGTGATTGTCCTTGCTAAGTACCAAAGCAGCACACGAAGGCAACCTCCCACAAGGACGACTTGGATTTGCTGCCGCGCTGCATGTTTGGCCACACGCTCGCTGCACAAGCTCATCTTGAGCGCAATCCTTGTTGCTATAGTCGCTGCAGGTCTTGTTGTCCTTCCGCTGCTCAACGGGGCTCCCGACTCGAGGGAAAAGCCATCCAACATTCAGACAGGCTCTCAGCCTACTTGTCCAGTGGCAACTTCTCGAATGTGTTTCCCATAGGGCTTTGGCTTGCAACAAGTAGTCTAACAGTCAAACAATAATCTTGATAGGCGCGCACTGATGTATCCGACATGTCGCACATGTTGGCCGAAAGCTATTCGGACTCCTGTTAGGGGGGCCCTTGAACAGGCCAGCCTATGAATCCGGGGCTCGCGAGGTCTCAAAGACCCGCCCGCCCATTGAATCTGCAGCCAGGCTTCAGCATTCCACCACGACCCTGAGATATCCACGCAGTCCTGAGGCGAAGCAAACCGACACTTTTAGGGAATACAAAAGGGTACATGCATTATTTTCTTGGAAAGTCCCTGAAACACATGCATGGCCAGGTTTGAGGTGCAGTTTGCCAAATTGCATTCGGCTCCCTGCTATGTTTCAAATGCTGCGCGCAAATAGGGAACTCCAATTCCCAGATTTAGTAACGAGGTCCGAGGTACAGTCATGTAAAACCTAGAGGTAACAATCCTGCTTGTCTGCTGTAATGTTGACCGCGGATTCACCAACCCCTGCTTAATAATATGGCGGGGGGTTCCCCTGCAAAAGTGATGAATCCCCACTAAAACCAGGGAAACAACACCCCCATATCAATGCAGGGGGGTTTATTCATCCGGGGTCAACATTGGTAGCTGAAGCCACGACTGCCTGCTTCCGAGCAGCGGACAAGGCCACATCGATGCAGGAGCCCGCTGGCGAGCGGAAGCACGGCTCGTAGCTCCAAGGCCGGCTGGCGTGGTCGCCTCGGCGCACACGAATCATAGAACGCTTGTTGAAACCCCTCCCAAATCGATCTTGGGCAACATACTGTGGAGGGTTGCGAAATTCATTTCGCACCAAAGAAACCCTGGTTTCTGATGATTCCCCTCTAAATACCAACAAACAATGGTTTCAATGGTTTCAAGCATGGTCTCAAAGTGGCGCAGGATTTCCTCCATCCACGGTAGAGAAGCGACTTCCAAGACGGAGGGAATAAGGGCTGGCTCAACAAAGAAGAATAGCCACTCGCCAACTTGGACATCCAACAGTAAGTGTGCTTGAACATTCTCCAAGTTGCCTGCATCTCTACAATGGCAAAATCACACATTGCATGTCCTTCGCCGCGAAACAGGTACAGGAGCTCTCCGTTGTCAGAATGGCCAGCTCTTGCAATTGCTTTGTATTCATGCGTTACGATATGTGCCGGACATGCTCAGGCAAATCCGCCCACGCTCGAGGCAGATCTTCCAGAGGCCCAAGCACCCGTCGACTAACAAATTGCAGCCGTCTCGTGGCTCGTCTCTCAAACTAGGCGACCTAGTGTGGGAGAGATGTCAAGGAAAATCGAGAGGAAACCAAGCGGAAACCAAGAGGAAACCATATTATAAGATATTCTAAGAGGAAACCAAATTTGACAAACACCCGTTTCTTGCTTCTGCCATGCTTCTGCGGCAAACATCCTCTTCTTCTTGGCCTCCATCAGGTATTGCACAAATTTTAGCGCGTTTGCTTAGGATTCCCCATGGTGATTTCCGCCTCCCAGGATTACCACTCATGTTGGAAGCTGTAATTGCACTTGTTGAAGCTAGTTTATTTTGTGTGTGTGTGTATGTGTTCGTTTGTTTCTGTTTTGTTGAATGCGACGAAAAGCCTGTGCTTTTGGAGGCGGGCATCTGCATTCCCGGCATCCCCGGATTTCTCCATCGATGCTGGCGAACATGCTTGGAACATGTTGTGTTTTCTTGTTCGTTCGGACGTCAGTCAATGCTTCTATTGAAACAAGTTTTCCATAGGTCTCTGATGGTATGCTCCGAACATCCCTTGTCTTGTTGCAAACATTGGCTTTAGCGTCATTGTGTTCTTGGTGTGTGTGCCTTTTTGTTCCGCGCATGTCAAAACCGGCTGGCAGTTGCACAGCGCTCCACAACCTACAAAAACTATTAAATTACCCTCCTGCCAATTAACATGGAACCTGACAGGGGGGGTCCTGGAAGACCATTCTCCATTTGAAGGGATCCCCTGTCAGGTTCCATGCTAATGGACAGGAGGGTAACAGGTTTGCCTTCTCTGCAATCCATGCCAGGTAACACAAATCGGGCTGGTGTCGAACGGCATGTGAGGTTGGCATCAGGCATCGGACAATATCCCACCCAGTGAGACGCAGAGAGCGTCGGCTGGCATAAGCCGGTAACATGAGTGGACCATCTGATCTCAGAACTTCCGAATGCGCTCCAAAAAGCAAGCGCATGCGTGCAAATGTTCAGGATGCTGTAAATTTTCAGGATGCAAAGAAAGACAGGCTCGACAAAATAATCCTAACATAGATCACCCCTATTGCGAGAATAGTAACGGTCCCATCGCTCGTAAGTACACCTGGTTGAATGTTGACATCAGGACAATCATTGTGGGTCTGGATGCCACGAATGCTGGTCTTTCAAAATCAGTTGACTGAGCAGGTTAAGTGGTTGTGTAGCCGAAGCCACTATTTTGTTGAGATCATTCCGGCACAACATATGTGACCTTTGGGGGTGAAGGGCAAACACTCTCCCAAAAACACAAAACGGCCACGTGCCGCCCAAGCGGCATTGGGACAAGCTGAGCTGGGTGCCGTTTGGGCTACCTGAGGCGTGCATTTGACGCTGTGACACGCAAATCGCTTGGCCGCACGCTTTTGACAACATGCGAGAAGAGATCACAATGTCTGGTATGATTGGAGTTAGGCCCAGTTATAGAATGTATACTATATGTATACTCTATTGTTTGCTTCACTTTGAGTCACTGGTAAAATGGTAAAACTTATCCTAAGTCTGCCCCAGTCTGGCATTCCACTCCCTGGTTTCTCACTTTGCTTCGGTTGCCAGCCTCCCTTCGACCCCCAAAAACAGGCCACCTCCCAAGTGCACCTCCCCACAGAGGTGCTTGCGGTCCCAAAGCTTCCCATGAACCGGGCAAGCGAGGGGCCGTGGACGTCCACAGAATGCAAGGGAACGTGAACCCCTGAAAAATGCGCAGCTTGAAGTTTGTTGTTTGTTTGGTTTGGTTTGGTCTTGGTGGCATTCGTAGCTTGGATTGTTTGTTTTGCCAAACGGGTTGCGTGACAGTTGGCTGCACGACAGTAGGACGGCACCCTTAGTCCATGAAAAATTAAACATGACAATGGGCAGGTGCCAAACGAAAAAAACATCGTGAAGGGTTGGCATCTGCCTTAAAGGCAAGCGCCCAGAAACCTGAAGACACCCCCGATTAATCGTGGCATTTCGTCCTGGTTTGCCTTTCATGTCGCCTCAGTTTGCCGAAAGGTTTGAACCCTCAAGCCTTGGGAGCGTTTGTTCGCGGCAGAAAAGCGGCCCGAATTTGCGAGGTCTCAGACAGTTCTCGCCAAGTCGCTGCAGCTGACGTTGAGCTTCCGATGGCACTCCAAAGTTGGGTCGCAGTAATGGTCGGGGTCTGGGACCACCACCCAACGATTCCTGCGCAAACGCTTCACTGCACAAAAATCGATAGATGTGAACATTGGAAAGCCAAACTCGGGACAGGGTTGGGAGTTTGCCTTCCCCTGTCATACTAGTTCATACTAAATCTTCCCTGATCCCCAATGCCAAAACTATCTGCCAATCCCTGCCCCGCTCCTTGATGTATCACAGGCATGTGACAGCCCTGGCATTATTTGGGTCAAAATCCAGGAAAAGCTCATGTTACTTAGCTAATCCTAAATAAAAACTCCAAGAAAAAGACTACACTGCAGGTCTGGCTAATGGACACATAGTCACCGAGCTTCGATGGCGCATCCATCCTCTCAACCAGGAACACCTCACCAGATGCGTCCACCATCCTGGCGGGAAACTGACTGGAAAGTCACGTGGCTGGGAAGATCGAATGTGTTTGTCTCCTCCATTTGCTTTGCAAACCTCAGATTCTCTAGCACCAAAGGATACCAATCATTGACCTGGGGAAGAGATCCGTGAAACAACCATAGTGTCAAAAGCAATCCACGAATACCATCCATGCAGTCATTTAGGTTTTGAAAGCAAGTCAAATAACATCCTTTCGGGCTATCTGGATGGGTAAAACCCTATGAATACTGCTACCAACTCAACTGCAGCATTTCGACCATCCACAGTATCGGGCGCCGTGCGCCGTTTAGCGCATCCCAATTCATGGGAGCCTGGCCACCAGAAGGCTGTTCAACTGAAGATCAACAATCGAAGGCTGGTAACCAAAGTTATGCTAGGGTGTCCTCACCATGCGTTGCAGACCTTTCTGACTCAGCCAAGCAGCCCAAGCTCGCCAATACTTCCTACCTAAAGACGCCGTACCTGGTACCCTAACATGTAGACACACTCACACACACGCACATACATGTCCAGCACTCAAACAAGCATCATACACAATCTCACACTCACACAAAAACACGCACGCACGCAAACACGCAGACACACAGACACAGACACACACGCAGACACACACACAAACACACACACACACAAACACACACACACACACACACAGACACAGACACAGACATAAACACAGACACACACACACACACACATCAGGGTAATATCACAGCCAAAAGCGCACACAGCACACTCAGCAACGATAGAACATCATCAGCAGCAGCAGCATCATCATCATCATCATCATCAGCCTCATCGTCATCCTCGTCATCCTCTTCCTCATCATAATATTCCTCTTCGTCACCATCGCCGACGTTGTCGTCCTCTTCCTCCTCTTCCATCATCATCATCATCATCATCATCATCATCATCATCGTCATCGTCATCGTCATCGTCATCGTCATCGTCATCATGATCGTGATCGTGATCGCCATCATCATCATCAACTTCGTTTTCATCGCCAGCAGCAGCAGCAGCAGCAGCATCTGCAGTGTTGGCGTCATTCAGTCACCACGCACTCATGATCTTTACAAGGGAAACCATGGGAACCGTAAAAGAGCCCACAGATGCCCCCCCGTTTTTCGTCCCCAACGGGGGAAACCGCTGGCCTGGGCTGCAAAGTGGCGCCCACGGGCTGGAGAGCCAAGCCCTGGTGGTCAAGCAAGAAGATCGCATCCTGGTCCCGTACCAACCCGTCACCATCCTGCCTGGCACGAGCGCACGCGAGCGCGCGCGCGTGGGCTAGGTTTGTTTTTGTTGTGTTTTCCTTTTTGTAGCCCCGGCATTTTACTGGCCCCGGCTCAGCACAAGGCCTCCCTCATGTGCCTCTCAGGAAGTTGGCTGGGATCCCCAACAAAAGCTTGGATCTCGGTTGTGGTTTCGCGTATTTCTGCGTATGTCTCGTCGATTTCCGTGTAGTTCCCGCACATGTCCGCGTATTTCCCGCAGAGTTCCGCGTATGTCCCACCGATGTCCCAGCGTTGCTCGCAACACTTTTCTGCCAGGGCTGGTTGAACCGTGCAGACACCTTATAAGTTGCACTTCCGCGCATGTGCCCGACTTTCCGCCTAAAAAAGAAACACGCACGTAAGCAGAACTGCGATAAGCAAGGAGTTGTTCATATTGAGGTTTCAGGTATATTCAGTATAAGAACTGCATGGGTCTGCAGGTGGCCGATGGCTCTCCAAGAACAGTCAACGCTCTGGCCAGTGGACACTGGAGAGAGGACACCCTCCTTGGACTGACTGATGGGAATCAACATGAATCAACCCGGGCGCTCAAAAAAGGAACAAAGGTTCGACAGGGAGTCAGACTCTGCCAGAAGACAAGGCGACAACTGCGCGGCTGTCAAAACCAGGAACCTGTTTCCAGAATTTGAAACGGGGTCCGAAACAGACAGCCGTATACAGTAAATGAATAAATGAAGGTGAATGAGCTCGTTTGCCTATTTAAAGTGACACTTGGCGCTGCTCAATATATGCAGACAGTGACAGTGATAGCATCCACGAGGACAATGTGCTAATGTGGGCAAATACGTCAATCTCCCAGCATCCCGAATAAACACATCACACACACACACGAACACACAGACACATTAGAGAGAGAGAGAGAGAGAGCCCAAGCTTGGCAAAACTCTGATTCAAACGGTACTGTACTCTGATTTGTGGCGGTCATTTGATTTGTAGTCATGAACTAGCAACACAATTCCAGGGATTGAACTCCAATGGCCATGCCCAAAACACACAGATTTTCGAGGGGTACCCTCCAAAGAAATGGAAGGAACCTGCCAAAGGGATCCTTCAGTCCGATTCATGCGAAGATCAATACCGTCAGGGATCCCTGTCCTGTAGGTTCCATTTGGGCGCATAACTTGAATTTTGTGTTGCCATTGCTTTAGGAATTGCTTTCCCCATGGCTTCGCGTGTTTGCCCCTTGTAACCCAGATGTGTTGCGTGGCCATGGCTTTTCTGCCAGCAAAGCGAAAACACCTGGCCTCTGCACAATGAAGGGCCTGTCAGCGCCGCCCTGGTCCGCGATGGAAGCACTTGGGGCTGTCAAGTCAGCGCCCAAAGGGTTCCGCTAGAAGGACGCATCCAAAAACCACCTGCTGAAGCAAAGGAAATAAGCTGAAGCAAAGGTGGTTTGTTGATTGGCTCAAATGTATCCTTTAAGGGACCCTGAATTTGAATGTACCAAAATAGAGATTTACTCCCCTGCAGATTGTGGAATGACTTTTGAAGACAATCGCCTCGTCTGCCTTGGATGCCCTGCGCACTCTGACCTTTCATAAGTCTACGGGCCGGTCTTTGTGGGCCGGTCTTTGTTAAATACGCAGGAACCTTGGGGCTAGAACTAAATTAATGACGCAATTCAACTTAGAATTGACGTCTCCAAAAACCCACCAAGCAACTGTTTCAAATACGATATATATATATATATATCCCAGACCCCTCCCACTTGGCCACGTTGTCTGCGTCGACGTCCATTATTTCATCCACAAAGTCCAAATAAGAATGCAAAACCCCTTTACGTAGGTTTGGTTCTACCGTCACGGTAAAGGTTTGTACCGCCCGCACTATCACCCCAACCGGGTAGTAGAGGCTGCTAAAAAACAAAAAAAATGATGTAGGCGCTGCTTGAGTGGCAACATGCAGCTCTTATGGTTTTCTTAGCCCCGGACTTGCCGCAAACCACCCTTTCTGTGATACCAAAGTAAAATGCCCAGCCCCATGACTACTTAATACTACTTATGTAGAACAGTGGCACATGGTACTCATTGCATCCCAAGTATCCGTCCACCTTCCCACCCCCCCCACCCCACCCCTCCACGCCCCGCCCCGCCCCACCCCACACCACCCCGCCCCGCCCCACCCCACCCCTCCCCACCCCACCCCACCCCACCCAATCCCACCTAATATGACATGCAGCTGAAGGGGCCCCGGTTTCCAACTCGCACCAAGTTTACCTACCAGCTGTCCCCAGTTCAAACATGGATTTGCTGCCCGTCTATTCGTGTGTGCGTGTATGTGTCTGTCTGTGTGTGTGTGTTTGTATGTGTGAGAGTGTGCCACAATATACACAAACCCTTGAAGAGGGGTCCCATTAATTTTGCAAGAAGATCTGCACAAATGAGTAGAAGTATGAACCTTCATCTTCTTGAGAAGGGTCCGCACAAGTCCGTATAACTCAGTTGAAACTGAGGAATCCCAAGGTGAAGGGCCTTCACGTTTTACCCTGGGCCGGCCTCTGCCAGGTGTGCCACCACCTTCTCTTGAAGGAACGCTACGCGACGGCCTAAGGTCGAGAGATCAAGCAATGGGAACCTAAGCTTAATTCTGCTCAAAGTAAAGGGTTGGCCCATGCCAATCCACAACTCCTAAAGGGATGGATGGGTGGGTGAGGCGGGATGGGACGGGGTGGGATGGATGGAGACATCACATGGGGGGATTGTCAGAGTTGGGGGCCCGCTAACAATGCGACGCTAGGGTTTGCTGCCCTAGGGTTCGCTGCCTGAGATCATCGCTTGCTGGTCTTAAGAACCGTCGCCTGAGACACGCACACATAAAACATCAGAGCACCCCAGGCATGACGACCCAGTGATCTTAGCAGATTATGGTGTTTCTTGAAAACCACGTGACCGACCTGCCTGCGGAACCGATCGACACGCAGGAACTGACCAGCCGACTCACTGACCAACCAACAATCAACAAGCGGGAAACCAGACCAACAACTATCCAACAAAAACAACGTGCCTTGCGAAGCGATCCTCCAACGAGCACACCAAGCAATAGAGCAATGACAGAGCGAGCAAACATGCAACCAACAACCCAATAGAATTTGTTGCATAAGGACTTACTCCTCTCAAGGCAGATATCAATCAATCTGGCAGGAGCTCCTTGCAACCCGCTGTATTCACTGTGGAGTGTCTTCCGTCAGATCTGCTCCAAGATCTGTGTGACACGTACACATACCGTGTGCAGCCTTGCAGTCTGTCTACTTTACATGAAGGCTGCTAAGCTCACGCGATTCGAAAAAATCTCCTCCCCCAATTAATGAATGACCCCCATTAATAATAAATGCTAATCCGGGGCCCGAGACCAGATTTCCACTCCGCACAATTGATGTTTAATTGCGCCAATACTAAACCAATACTAAAGTCTTGGAATCCTTATTAGGGGGCACTTTTAACAAGCTTCCAGCCCCACTTTTAAGCTGCGACTGTCTCTCCCCCATACATGCTGGCTAACCTGCCTGGCTGCCAACAAACAACCAGTAAACTGAAAAACAAATAGAATGATACATGAAATTTCCTTATTAAACCGCTTACTCGCGGACCTTACAATTCAATCCATTTCCTCCAAATCCTATGCGAACCCTCACATTGTTGGAAAAGCAAAAAAAAACAACCCCGAAAACCCCAATAAAAAAAATATCTATTTTTGGGAGGATTTATTTATAATAGGGAGGGGGGGGGGGGGCCGTATTTATTAATAGGGGGAAGAGATAAAGGAACATAGGGCGAACAGGGCAGGACGGGAACACCCACATCGTTGTGTGACTGCAGTGCCGAATTGCCGTAGTGCTGCATACAGTTGGCACGAAAACTTCCAAGGGTCCAAAACGGGGGGCCCTGCTTTGGCAACAAACCTTATCAACCTAAGCCAAGCTTTCTACCTTATCAACCTTATACGCATCAAGCCCCACAGAATAAAGAGTTCTCATCTAGACCGTTCTCGGCATGCGCTCTCGTCTGGCCGGTCTCAGGCCTGGGTAAATAAACCTCCCTTAAAAGTGAAGCCGTGATGCCCCAAAGATCTGTCAAGGGGAGTCCCCTTTGTTTCTCAAACGCAGGAAACAAACTTAGTCGTTGGAGCCGCTTCCCAAAATGATATATACATATATATATATATATGTATCTATCAAAGTGGCACCCGCACAACTGCCGTCCACGATGATGACTTGGCGCGGCGGAATTTCCCAGTCTTGAAACGTGATCTTGCGAACACTCAAAATGCAACCACTCTCTCACACTTCAGTGCTCAAAAATGCAAGAACATTCGCCACGTAGTTCCGATGGTGCCTCACACTTCACCCCGCTGCACCAGATCCATCCCAGATCCCAGCGCGCCTGCACAGGCCAGCTCCACCTCGTCACCGGACTGCCTCATACGCGCGTTGTCTGCAATGTGCTAGAGCAGATCTCAGATGGTGGTCAGTTGGTCAAAGGACCCGGAAAGAGTTATCTTAAGATGCAAATCTTTAACATGGTCTTGTTTGATATATATATATATATATGGATGCGCATGTATACATGACACTTATATATAAGTATGTCAATGTAGTTGTACTCGTGCACCCAATACAAAATTGTGTTGTGTGTTATATATTCAGGTTCACATGTATATTTATCTTACACTTATATTTCTTTACAAACTCCTGACCTCCCAATGATAAACTGTGAGTAGACCATACTAAACTAATTACAATCATATTGGAAAATAGTGTTGAATTTCAACGTCGCCAGTCAGCATTGAACTGGCACATCAACAAGTTGTGAGCGATTCCACTTCAATTCGCCTTCGGACTCCCAACCGAATCAATGAACAAGAGTGGTAAACTGGGTGCTTTCGAAAGTTGACATGGGTGGCGTGCTTTCAGTTTCCCCTTCGTATTGAAAACCTGTCGCCCCATTTGTCATTGTCGGGCATCTATGCAGCCGGGGCAATTGGCAGGCGCCCTGGAAGGGCTTTGGCAGGCGTTTCCGGAAAAATACAACAACATTATAACGCATCCTGGGCTCAGTCAATTCAAGTCGACACATGCGTTTTGTTCGAAACAAGCTTGGTGGTGGGGAAGTTCATGTTCGTCACCTTGATGCATTTTTTGTCAGTGCCACCGTGTCACCGATGTTCACGGACCTATGCCAGTCGTACTGTGTCATGTTCAGGGCGTGGAGAAGGTCAATTGGCAGAACCGTCATCTATCAAATCGCACATGTATCACGTTGATTAAAGTAAGCACAGGCATCCATCTTTGCTGTGGCAAAAGGGGATAACCAACGCACACATGGCAAACTCATATACATGAACACCGGGAATCCCTTGTCATATTTGATTCTATGTTGCGACGTCTCAGGATTTGCCCATACGCAGCAAAAAACCGCTGCTCTGCTTCACATAAAGGCTTGCAAACGTAAAAGCCCCAAGCCTCCGCCCCGGCTGCATCGCTCCGCCCGGTTCCGTCCAACCGCTGCGTCTCCCAGCCTCCGCCCCGGCTCCCTCCAGCCGCTGCGTCTCCCCTGCATCGCTCCGCCCCGGCGCCGTCAGCAGCGGCGTCTCCCAGCATCGCTTTGCCCCAGTTACGTCCAGCCGAAGTCTCCCCCAGCATCGCTCCGCCCCGGCTCCCTCCACCCGCTGCGTCTCCCCTGCGTCGCTCCGCCCCGGCGCCGTTAGCAGCGGCGTCTCCCAGCATCGCTTTGCCCCAGTTACGTCCAGTCGCTGTGTCTCCGCAGCGTCGCTCCGCCCCGGTTCCGTCCAGCCGCTGCGTCGCCCCGGTTCCCTCCAGCCGCTGCGTCTCCCCTGCATCGCTCCGCCCCGGCGCCGTGCCGCGGCGTCTCCGAACATCGCCTTGCCCCAGTTACGTCCAGCCGCTGTGTCTCCGCAGCGTCGCTCCGCCCCGGTTCCGTCCAGCTGCTGGGTCTCCCCTGCATCGCTCCGCCCCGGCGTCGTGAGCAGCGGCGTCTCCCAGCATCGCTCCGCCCGCCGCTGCGTCTCCCCTGCATAGCCCCGCCCCGGCGCCGTGCGGCGGTGTCAAAGTTACGTCCAGCCGCTGTGTCTCCGCAGCGTCGCTGCGCCCCGGTAGCGTCCAGCCGCTGCGTCTCCCAGCATCGCTCCGCCCCGGCTCCTTTCAGCCGCTGCGTCTCCCCTGCAGCGCTCCGCCCGGCGCCGTTAGCAGCGGCGTCTTCCAGCATCGCTTTGCCCCAGTT